GGGAAGAGCACACAAAGGTCGTGAGTGGACCTAGACCCCTGTCTTCCCCGGCAGACGTTCATGACTCTCTCCCCCCTTCTCTAGCCATTGCCATGTTGAAGGACAAGGAGCCCGGGTCATTCATCGTCCGGGACAGTCACTCCTTCCGAGGTGCCTATGGCCTGGCCATGAAGGTTGCCACACCCCCGCCTTCCGTCCTGCAGATGAACAAGAAAGGTAGGGTCCCCTACGATTGTTCTGTTCACCCAATCAGTGGAGAGTGTCGGCTTATTTTTATGCTAATAAGATGCTAGATGACATCTTGGTGTTTATTTTTTCAGGTGTATTTTACTAAGTACTCTTCTTGCTCATGTGAGAAAGTTAATTATTTGTTAATTTTATTTTCTGTTGTTCTGAATAGGTCACCTATTTCATTGCTTCCATTTTTGGACCCATCTCCCCCACCACCCCTGAGTGCCCTTGGGTAAACTCTGGTGTGTCTTCACTGACGTCTATCCAAAGGAAATGCAAATGTGCATTTTCTTTTCTTATAGAAATGGTAGCATACCACATGCACTACTCTTGTATCTACACCCAGTAGAGTATTTCTAGATTGATTAAAAGTGTCGATAGTATAAGCCTAAAGTCATCAGGTCATCACTTCTCGAGGAGATCAGTACCTTCCTTGCTCCTTTTGTGCCAGTTCATTCCACACAGGCATCAAACAGTAGACAAATCGTGCATGGTACAGTAACATCCTACTTGCTTTTTTTTTTTTTTTTTACCACTCTTTGTCATGAAACATAACCACATACAGAAAAGTGTGCTGCCTACATGTACAGTTAAACATGATTATGAAACAGTAACTACAGCCCAGGAGAGAGAACCCACCAGGGCGCCCCTGCATGCGCCTACCTGCTCTGTGATAATCCATCACCACCCTCATGTGTTGGTATTCCACCTGTCCCAGATTTGGCTATGTGATGCTCTTCAAGCAGCCCCTGTGTCCTTTTGATGGATCCCCACTAGTGTGCAAACAATTCCTGCTTCTGAGCAGCAATCACATTTCTGGATTACTTTGTACATTTTTGGCCACAGCCATTTTTCCCCAAATTCAAGCAGCCCCTGTGTCCTTTTGATGGATCCCCACTAGTGTGCAAACAATTCCTGCTTCTGAACAGCAATCACATTTCTGGATTACTTTGTACATTTTTGGCCACAGCCATTTTTCCCCAAATTCCCAGTGCTGTTTACCAAGGAACGGAGTCTAGAAACCAAGATCGGATCCCCAGGTGTGCTCATTGCTGTCAGGGTATCACTGCTTTTCTCTAGTGAACAGAGCTGGGGAACATGTCATTTTTAAAAATTCATGAGCTTGTGCTGATACCTGCAATTCAAACACCGTATCACAGGTTCTTCCCCACCTCCTCCCATTCCACATTTGCATCTCCCTTTTCCCACAGCAAAAAAGAACCTTCGTTCCCAGCAACATCAATCTAGGTGCTCTCATGCTCTGTCCCTTAATGTACACAAAGTAGTTTGATTACTGTGTGGACACCACCGCAGGCAGGAAACCTACTAAGTGGAATTTAAATTTAAAGTTCTTTCATATTAACCAACAAAATACAAATCTCTAAACATGATAATTTTGTCTATTTTTAACTTGAAATAAGAAACTAACCTAGTGTGTATTCTTCTGTTACTTGCTTTTGCTCAACATTATAAGATTCCTTCATCATATTTCTAAGGTTGCTTGTAGCTGTTTTTCTCTTTGATTGTGATAGTTTTCCATCTTGTGAATATATAGCAACCTATTTATTCTATTAAATAAATAGACATTGTCGGGGAGTGGGGTTGGGAAGGAACCCAGCTCAGTCAGAGCCCAGCCCCCAAGCCTGTGATACCAATTATGTCTTGAAGTGAAGCGGGGAGAAGGCAGGAGAGGAAGGGCAGGTAAGTCTGGAAGGATCTTACCTTAAGGTAGGATCTTAGAGCACCCAGAATTCTAGCATAAGAAGCTCAACAAAATTCTACTTTTGAGTGGAAATGTGGGCTGTTGTAGTTGAAGAGATCAATTAGATCTGATTGTTGAGGATTTTTCAGGCCTTATTTGGAAACATAGTGAATGCTGATGACAGCAAGAAAAAGAGTCTTGGGACGAGAACATCTGCTGTGTCCGTAGAGACAGGAGATTAATGCAGTAGGGCAGGAATGAATGGATGGCAGCTGTAGGGTTTGCTTGGTTCCTTGGTTTTCACTGAAAGTTTTAAGGCAAGGCAAGGACAAAAAAAAAAAAAAAACCAAAACAAAACCCTTCTGCATGCCTTATTTTTTGGAAATGCAGATGTTGGTATATAACTATTGTTACCTCCAGGCTTGCAGCCTGCCTCTCAGGCAGACTTTGGATTCAATCTTAAGATGAAGGTAACAAAATACATGGAGGATATTAGAATAGCAGACTTCAGGAAACCCAGCATGGTCCTCTGGGTGAAATCTTATCTGGCTGTCGTATCTACACCCAGCCCCTGGATTTGACATTTGGCATTCACAGTCCAAGGATAGATTTGAGGGAAGAGTTTACCAAACTAGTAAAGCACCAGAACGAGTCACCCTACCACCTCCAGTAACCTGGAGATGGGACAGCTACGGACCTGGAGGATGCTGTTCTCCAGAGAGCCCTGGCCCGGAGGATTCCCGCTGAGCCATTTCTCACAAGTGACATCCAGACCCACGCTTGGTGTCCCCTTTAGTTTAGAAGTCGTGAATCTTTTTCTCCCATAACTGAATGGGCAGTATGTTCTTTTCCCCATTGGGGTAAACACAGCTTTTTATGGAATCCAATCATTTCCTTTTCTGCAGGCTTTACTGCCCCTGCAAGATGCTGGCACTTAGTGTTACGGATATGTCACTGTTATAAACATCATTTGGGAGCCTGCTATGGGCAAGGTGCTGGGGACCAAGCCCTACTCCAGCAGGGCCTGCCACCAAGAGGTTCCCAATATCAGAAATTTTAGAAGTTCAGGCAGACACACTCCTATGACGGATGACCAAGAAAGCCACAGGAGGGCAGAAATACAGCACATCGGGAATGTCTGTTGGGTTCATCAGCTGAGAACAGTGACTTTCTTTTTTTCTGGTTGTGTTGTTTGTACTTTTCCACCATCAGATAGTTTTGCCATCAGTGGCTTTTCGTGAAGCACTTTGTGTTTGGATTCACAGGCTGGCTTGAACACAAACGCACTGCTTACTAGCAACATGGTAGCGTGCTGCTCCTGGAGAGCTGAGCACTTGCTTTCTGGAGGGGTTTGTGTGCCCAGGCTCCTGGCTTACTCTTTCTCGGAAAACTGGCATCCTTCCACCTCTTTCTGATGATTCGTTGTTAGTAGCATTGTGGGTCTGAATCTTTCTAACCTCTCCTCTTCGGGAGGGGTGGAGCTGGAGGTCCATGGTCCTCTTTCTTAGCTCATTCCCTGTGCTGGGAATTCTTGCAGAATGTTTGAGGTCCTCTCCCAAAGACACCCTCCAGCTCCAGCATCGTCCCTGCAAGGGTTCATGTGTCCGTGTGACTTGTGTTCACCCAGCTGTTCCGCAGTCCAGCCACCATCCTTATGATGGATCTTGGAAGCTCTTCCAGTGCAGTGGTCATACTCCTGTCCACAGAGGGGCCTGCTCAAGTGTAGCTCTTTGCTTTAAAGGCTGTTCTCTCTCTCAAATCCTCTCATGCTCTCATTTTAAAAAATTGTTGTTTTTTTTTTAATATCTTAACACAGCTGGAGATTTGTCCAATGAACTTGTTCGGCATTTTTTGATTGAGTGTACCCCGAAGGGAGTGCGGTTGAAAGGGTGCTCCAATGAACCATATTTCGGTGAGTTACTTGAGAGGTTGCTGTCAATGTTCTGAACACGTGAGGCCTGGATTCCCTCAGTTCACTGACCTGAGATTTGGGACTGTCACTCTCGTGGTGGTTGATGCATATTTCAGTCCCTGATTCTGAGATTCCTCAGATCTAACTTATTATTTTTAGGATAAACTGGACAGGAAATTGTTCTTAAAAGCTTTGTCAAAACCAAACAAATGGAAAACACTATGCCAGGACTAGAAGTTACACATGTCAACAAGATAGTGTCCTGGCCAGCAGACAGATGACTAGGTCTGGGCCCCAGTGTGACCCCATCCCATGGGCACAAGGGGGAGCACAGAGCCCCTGCAGGGCGTCTTTCCCTCCCTGTAGTCCGAGAGCCCCCCACCTCATGGGCCTGTTGGAAAGACTGAGAGGCGGCTGCACGGAGCACCGTCAATACACCCCATCCCATGGGCACAAGGGGGAGCACAGAGCCCCTGCAGGGCGTCTTTCCCTCCCTGTAGCCCGAGAGCCCCCCACCTCATGGGCCTGTTGGAAAGACTGAGAGGCGGCTGCACGGAGCACCGTCAATACAGGATGAACATCCCTAATCCGAAAAGCCGAAATCCTCCCAAACCCAAAACTTTCTGAGCGCTGACATGTTGCTCAAAGGAAATGCTCATTTGTGCATTTTGGATTTTCAGATTAGGGATGTTGAGCCCATAAGTAAAATGCAAACATTCCAAACTCTGAAAAAGTCCAAAATCCAAAACGCTTCTGTTCCCAAGCATTTCGGATAACAGAGGTTCAACCTGTATCGTAGCCCTTTTAGAAGCACCGTTACAGCACCAACGAATGTGGCAAAAGTTAGAGTTTTCTTGATTCCACCCTTCTAGTTCAGATCCAGCAAACTGTATGATTTACTCTTTATAATTTGGTGACTCTGTGTCTGTCCTAGGAATCATCTGCAGTTCTCTTTACTTACCTCTTAACTGTCATGTTGAGTATGTCACTTCTCTGAAGTTTTGCACAGATCCCCACAATCATGAACACGTTAGTTGCTAAACGTCGAAGGGCTCATACCTGGCAGCAAGTTCGTTTTGGCTGATAAACGGGTTGCACCCAGAGCATGTAGAGCAGTTGCTGACTCTTTTTTCTGTCCATCCGTTTCGCAGGGAGCCTGACGGCCTTGGTGTGTCAGCACGCCATCACCCCCTTGGCCTTGCCATGCAAGCTGCTCATTCCGGAGAGAGGTACCGGGTCGGGTCCTCAGTGCTAGGCTGGCTCTGTGTAAGGTTACCTACAGTCGTCAAGGTGCACCAGTTTCAGGGATTCATAAAGATCCATTGAGAAAAATCAGACTGGAAGTTTTTTCCTACTATGTATTCTGTGGGTAAACCCAAGAGAAAGCTAAAGAGTTTGCCTAAGATGGGCC